TGTGAATTCTGTACAGATGTTTATAGAGCACAGGAGTAACTTTATTTTACCTGAAGAACCAAAAAGTAATGGAGGAAAGTCCAACAGGAAGGACTCTGCTCACATGCTCATTTGAGAGATATTTAAGGTTAAATTAACTTTGCTTGCACTAATGGACCACAAGTAAAGCTTTTCAAAAACTACTAGAGGAGCTCTACTGAGAAACTGTGGTGGAGGCTATTAACACATGATCCACTATCTCCTGTGATCTAAAAAAAATTCTTATCTGCTACACAGAAGAACATGAGTTAAATGCCAGTTGGCTCAAAATTTTCTAAGAAAAGGCTGTTTTCCAGAAAAGCACGTGGCTGAAACGAGGCTGCTGGCAGAGTCCCTCAAGCACAGAGCTGCACCTACTCACACAAGAGCTCTCAGGACCGGGCACGCACGGAATATTCTACATATTATAATTTTTTATATATAATATACATCGCATTATAACATTTTCGTGTACTTTATTACACAGTATATGCCTACAGACCCATATATTATATATCCATATGTACATTCTTACGTAATCTATAATGTGATAAACATACGTGTTCCAAACATGACCCAGCTTTATGTTTACTCCCCATATCGAGCACTGGAGTGACGTAATCTCCTAAATGGCCCCGTGACAACTAATGTAATTAAACTGAAATACTATTAGCTATATTTATATTGGGGATAGTCTTACCACAGTTCTTAAAGACCTGCTCTGCAGCTCAGGAATTAACTGTATCTCCTCAGCCCAGTGTGATTAGTCATTCTGACATTTTACCTTGTGCAGTGACTCAGACTCCTCCCACTCTTATCATTCAGTGGAGATAGCCTGGATTTAAATATGGTTCAGATAATATACACTCACACAATCTCTTTTTTTTCCCCTAATATTTTAATTCACTAAAAATAACTAGAACGACATGATCTTTAAGGTCCTTTCCAACTCAGACCACTCTGCAATTCTATGAAAGGAAAATAATTGTGTTGTTATTCATAATTGAGTTACATCCTCCCGTCCCCAAGTGGAAATTTAGGGTTCTTTTGCTAGGAAGTGAAACCTGATAACTCAAGGAGCTTGTACATTAGGACTTCATGTTAACATCTGTTAGAAAAACATCATTTGTAAAAAAAAAAAAAAAGGAAACTTTTGCCTCTTTCACCCAAAATTCAGCTTATAGAAGGTCACCCTCCAGCTCACCATATCCCCACTGGTCACAGAACATTTGGAACAGAGAGGCTCTGCAAAGACCCATTATTTTTTCCAGTTTTGCCATATTTACAGGCACATGCAATGAAACATAGACTCCTGAAAACAACAAAATGGTTTAACTGCCAGAAGTCTGCATGCACGTGCTGTAAAATACACACGGTACAAATTATATATCTAATATCTAAATATATATATATTTATACACGCATTTATTTATATATTACAAATTACACATACACAAAAATACATTCATCCTGTATAAACTCGCAACTATTTTTTTTTTTTTAATTTAAATCACGTAATTCTTACAGCTGTGACTTAGGAAGCACAGCACCAGCTGCACCAGAATGCCAAAGAAAGTTGATTCTTGTCAAATATTTCCTTTTGACTCAAGTGCAAATTGCCTGAGCTGAATGTGCATGAACTAATTAGCAAAGCAGGTATCCCCCCCAAGCTGTGAGCAACTTCTCGCTCCTCAGGCTACCTAACAGCAGATACTTCACCACTTTTAATGACCATCATCCCAGAAGCAACCGAATCATGCTCGGTCAACAAAATATGAAGATGTTTTCAGAGATGTTCTTCCTGTTTGTTATTCATACTGAAGTGGAAGTTAGCACTTAAAATATTTTGAAGAACTACCCTTGCTTTTGTGCTGGAATCACTGGAGGTGTGATTATGGCACGTAAATCCCTTCGGATTAAATGCCCTTATCAAAGCATCTTAGAGGTACATTAAAAACTGAAGGGGCATAAACAGCTCTGGCAGCTTGCAGCTCAAGTTGGTGATCTTTGCATTTCATAAACATCGAGACTTGGGTTGGTTTGCAGGGGAATACAACCAACTAATTATTATCTTTTGCTTAAGGGCACGTGTGGTGAGCTCTGCAGGTATCGTCTCTGCTTTTACACTAATGTATTGCCTCTTCAAGCCTATCAATGTAACAACTGCTGCTGCATTCTACAGCATTTCTAGTGTTACCCAACTGTTTTATATTCGAAGAGAACACACTGAAACTTCTGAAAGATGCTGCTAAAGAAGAAGCTGCAGTTCCAGTGACTTGCAAAGAGAGTAATTTTATATTGTTCAATAAGAGACAGAGAATCACAGAATTGTTTGGGTTGGAAGAGACCTTGAAGATCATCTCATTCCAACCCTGCCCTGAGCAGGGACAACTTCCACTATCCCAGGTTGCTCCAAGCCCCATTTAACCTGGCCTTGAACACTTCCAGCAATGGGGCAGCCACAGCTTCTCTGTGCAACCTGTGCCAGGGCCTCCAGTATAAACCTCTGTCAGTGTGAAGCCATTCCCCCTTGTCCTGCTTCTCCAGACCCTTGCAAACAGTCCCTCTCCATCTTTCCTGCAGTCTCCTTTCAGGCACTGGAAGACCACCCAAAAGCTCCTCTTCTCCTGGCTGAACAATCCCAATTCTCTTCACCTTTCCTCCATCCCTCTAATCACATTCATTTGCTACTTATCACAGAGACAGCCTAAAGATAACATAAACCAAGCTGAGAGTCTGAGCCAATGATGCCTTCAGGCTCCTTTCACCAATAAACATCCAACACCAAAAAGTTTTTAAGCTTCTTTTACAACTGCAATTAAAGCATGTGAAAAAAATACTGTCATGGCTACACCCAGCAAAAGAAATAAAGGTTTCTATCAAAGGTTTCTATTCAGAGACTGCAGAGAGGATTTTAAAGTAGGTGAAGCATAATTATTCAAACTAGAAGATTCTTAAGGTCAATCATCCATGATGAAGAAAGAAGACAACCAAAAGCCACCCAACCTTGAAGCAAGACAGCAAGGACTGCCCCATGACATATCTGGGGAGAGAACATCATCTACCAGTGCAGGTCCTCGAGCAGCTCTGAATACTCACCTCCAGATTCTTTTATCCTGATTGTTCACCAGCTGACATCAAGTTTTGTGGTGCATTTAGTCATAAACTTTGGAGAATCTCAGTCCTGACTTTAGTTCATAAAGTGCTTATGCTTCATCTTTCCATTAAAGTTAGCCATAGCAAGAATCCTATTTGCAATCCTGTTAAAATGAGCACTCCAGGCAATACTTGGGGTTCTTGCCATTTCACTTCAGTGCAGATTTTGGCCCAGTAAGTCTAACTCAGTATTTTCCACCCAGAATTGCAAGCATTACTTTCATTTCTTCATGTTAAGGGATTGGTATGATTGGTAAGGAGCAGTTTCAGTATTACAAATAATGAGGCAGCACAAATTCTAGAAAACGAAAACATCCTGAGCAAAACTAACAGCCTCTTCAAACACTATTGGTACCATTTTGTTAATAACTATTCCCTCACTGAATCACCTTTTGTTTTCAATTTAGACTCACAGATATGCCAGGTTCCTAAATAAAACATCAATTCAAAGACTAAAGACATTTTGCACGTGGTTGACAGCTAATGCATTTCCAAAGTTGAAAGAAAACAAGAAGTTAGTCAGAAACAGTAGTGAGATTCTGTAAATAGATTCAAGTCTTCAAAAGAAAATCAGTCACCGCATGCAGCTTTAAAGCAGGTCTTTCAAGTTAGGATTAAACGTTTATTTAGTGAAATGACACTAAATAAAAACAGTACTAAAAGATGCAGGGGCAAAAACAATCCTGATCACCCAAATACCCTTTTTTTCGGTACAAGAAGCTCTACAAGTTCCAACAGCTCTGCCTGCATGAGTGGGTTGATGGCTCTACTCATTTAAGTTGCGTTTCCATGACTGGGTTATAATTGTTGTACTTACGGGAAGACAAATAGAACAACCACATTTTCGTGACGGGGAAATCTTTGTGTTGGAGAGCAGAATCAGGCAGATGAGCAGCTCACACTTAAATTACTGGCAGTCACAGTTTATAAAGCTGGGCACATGATTAAGCCAAAACACCTTTCCCCAGTATGTGCTGCAGTAACATTTTTTAGGTTGTTATCATTAATGCCAAAATTAATTTTTTTCTATTTGTTCTTTGATCATAGACTTGTTTGGGGTGGAAGAGACCTCAAAAATCACCTCATTCCACCCCCCTGTCATGGGCAGGGACACCTTCCACTAGACCAAGTTGCTCCAAGCCCTGTCCAACCTGGCCTTGGACACTTCCAGGGATCCAGGGACAGCCACAGCTTCTCTGGGCAACCTGTGCCAGGGCCTGCCCACCCTCACAGCAAAGAATTTCTTCCATATATCCAATCTAAATCTACTCTCTGTCAGTCTGAAGTCGTTCCCCCTTGCCCTGTCACTCCAGGTCCTCATCCCAAGTCCCTCTCCAGACCTCTTGGGAGCCCTTTTAGGTACTGGAAGGCTGTCCTAATGTATCCCTAAAGTCTAAAACAAAATATTCTCCTAATTCACAGACTGATAACCATTGCTACAGTATTAAGAGACACATAGCTGGTTACAATCATTACAGAAACCCAACTATTAGGATTTTTCCTCATTCCCAAAATGTCTAGGGCTTCAGATCTCTTCCAAGGTGTGAAAGACCTAATCACAGAATCATAAAATCGTTTGGGTTGGAAGGGACCTTAAAGATCATTTCATTCCAACCCCCTGAGCAAGGGCAAGGATCTCTTTTCACTAGATCAGGTTGTTCCAAGCCCTGTCCAACCTGGCCTTGGACACTTCCACGGATGGGGCAGGCACAACATAACCTGTTCCAGTAGGCTTTTGCAAATCCCTTTAAATGAAGACATCCCTTTTGGGCTAAGCAGAGCTGAGCACAAATCAATAAGAGCAGGATGTATCATTAAAACCTCACTGGCAGCTAAAACGCGGGGTCCTTCCAAACACCACGCGAAAGCCACGAGTGCAGGGAGCAGCGGTATCTGAGAGAGCTTTAGCTGGCAGAGATAAAAAGAAGTCAGAAGAAAGGTTTAGCAACCCAGATGAACACTTCCCATGAATGCACTCAGTAATTAATTACGCTGCTGCCACATGCAAATCCCCGTCAGTGCATCCGCACACGAACCCGCCGTACCTGGACCAGCTCGCCCTAGGTGTGTTTTGCATATCCTTAAAACAGCACACCTTTCCCACTCCTGTCTGAAGGCCCATCCTTTGATTTGCTGCTACGTGAATAAAAAACCAGCAGCAATCCTCACAAAGGAGTGATAACAGCTCGCTGCTTTGATACCTATGGCAACATGACTGAAAACAGGCAATTCAAAGAAACAATTAATTCAGTTTAAAGTTATGAAGGTATGAGGTTGGGTGGGGTTTTTTGTGGTGTTTAACTTATCTGCAAGGTTCTTTAATCCAGTTTTGTAAAGATGTGTAAGCCATTCTGAATTGATTATTACAACTTTAGGATGAGTGACACTTGACTGAAAAAGTAAAAGGATGTCAATCTCCTTTGTTTTTATTTTCAAAGAAGGAACAGGAAAATACTCTTCTTCCTCTCTGTTCTTCTATGCAAAGAAGAAAACTAGAGACCGTGGTTTGGGCCCCATGGTGTTAGACTCCCCTCTCCTTCCACACTGACTAATAGACAGAAACACTTAATCCTGTAGTTTAGGTAAAATTCTTCAGCAGTCTGGACAGTGCAAGCTGGACAGAAAGTGCTGTTTTACTGAATTAAAGTCATATTCCTGTACATGGGATGGCTGCATGTCCAATTCACTTGTAATCTATAATTGTCCAATGCACAGAAGTTACCAAAATACCATATGGCTCTTTACTGCAGCAATTCAATACAGTCAAGGATGCAGGTAAATTCACTTTTTTTTTTTTTTTTCCCTTTTTCTTCCCAAAATTTATGTTTGGATCCCAGCAGCTCATCTTGTGCCATAAAATATTTACAGTTTCAACTTGTATGGAGAACTCAGCAGCCTTCAGAGATAGAAGGGCCACTCCTACTGTCAAAACTGGAAGCTTCACAGTCATAACTTCATTTTCATTACAGCTTCACATAAGACATAGAAACACATACCTCTTTTAGCTGCAAATACTCTTACAGACTGAAAAAATGCCACTCTGATCAGTAATTTTTTGCTAACCACAGAACACACAATTTGGTTTTGCCAAATGCTTTTTGAACTGTACAGTCACTTGGGCATTTTTAAGACTATAATTAAATTGCCAAAAAATTATTACATGACAAAATGCAGCTTGTCTGCATAAAAACTTAGAAAAACCCCTTTATCTTCTTTTAGTACAGAAGATAAAAGCATGTTTTAAGTCATTATTTCCTCTTTGGCTTCCCCCCTAGGTGCAGGGAGGGGGTTTTAGTTTCCATTCTAAGCTGAGATGAACCAGTCAGCACAGCAAGCCCGTTCAGTGCCTCAAAACTATCACAATCTAAAATCCAGGATTTATTTCAAAACTTTTATGCCCCAGGTGAGCCAGGATCAAGAGTTCTGCACAGGCTGTATATCAGTGAGAGTATTTCTTCCTACAGATCTGCATCCCTATCTGTTACAGGGTCTCTAAGCCAGTAAAAGTTAAATATCCCTTAAGTGATGTGTGTATATATACATACATATTTTTACATAAAGTCCATATCTGGAATACTTTGAGCCCATCCTAAGTAATATTTTTGAACTGATTATAACTGTGGTCCTACAACATGCTTAGAATTGCTCTGCTGTGTCAACATATTAATTCATGAAAAATTAAAAGAAAGAAACAACACACAAAGAACAATAAAAATATTACAAAACAAGGCAGAAAATTGGTATTCTAATATTTACTTCTGCAAGAGCTATTCTGGTTACACCAGGGTCCTACCAAGCATGTTGGCTCAGCTGAACTGGTAGCACAATGGCAAGTTCCAGCCAGCACCCATCCAGTTGTTGTTTCCTAGTATACAACTGAGTAATTAACCCTGTTTTGTCTCATTAAAAAAAAAAAAAAAGAGAGAGAGAGAGAGAGAGAGAGAGAGAGAGAGAGAGAGAGAAGATACTGTTAAAAAATATGCTGAAACAGTGAGCTAATGAGATTACACATTGGAAATCACCTAAAAATAATTATTAGCTTTTTACCAGAATCCTGTGAAATTTCCAGTAGATAATATTCAAATTTAAGTTGTCAGGAAAAACACCTATCAGCCTATGTATAAATAGATATGAGTACATACAATGCACCAACTCAAGGTCTACACTTGCCTTTTCTTTTGCAGGGGAGACGTGTGAGAAGGGGTTCTAGTTTTAGTCTCTGAAGCACCTCCACAGCAGTAACCACATGATTCAAGACTGTCTGAACTCCTTCCTCGCTGCTACTGTTTGAACACAGGATACTGTTTTGCTTTGCACCAAGACACATTCCTCAGATTTTAAAGTGCTACACTTTCATAATTCAGGAAAAAAAAAAAAAAAAGAAAAAAAAAATCAACCAACAAGCTTCTCACAGTAACACCCTAAAGAGCAATGGAAGACTTCAGAATTTTTCAGAATCCTGGAATGGTTTGGGTTGGAATGGACCCTAAAGCTCATCTCATTCCACCCCCCTGCCATAGGCAGGGACACCTTCCACTAGCCCAGGTTGCTCCAAGCCCTGTCCAACCTGGCCTTGGACACTTCCAGGGATCCAGGGGCAGCCACAGTTTTCTGGGCAACCTGTGCCAGGGCCTCCCCACCCTCACAGGGAAGAATTCCTTCCTTTCTTGGTTTTAAATTAAGTTTTATGATTTATAAGCCTCCACTGATTTTGAAAAATTCTTACATCAGCTAGGCTTCTATTAGACTTTTACTTGTGAAAATTAGCCTTGTTATAAATGAAATTAATTCAATTTAAAACAGAGTTGCATGTCCTTTGTGAAAACGACGACTGACCACACAAGACAAATGTACAAATTCAAAAGGAACTAGTTTCAAACAACAAAAGTCCCTGCTCATTGCAGGGGCAGTTGGACTAAATGGCCTTTAAAGGTCCCTTTCAACACAAACCACTCTAGGATTCTATGAACAGAAACAGATCAGATAGAGTGAACAGATGCACCCCGCAATCCAGCTGGTCATCAGCACTCTGCCACTTTTCCAGACGGGATGAGGAACAAGCTGAGTGCTCAGATGACAGGGGAAGGGCTTGTGAAGGAGAGATGTGGATGGGAGAAGACCATAGCAGAAGCTTTCATTCTCCTGGACCTGAGCAGCCAAGAACACAACTATCACCTCCATAATTCTGCAACCTGCACACTGTGTTGCATTTTTATGAGCACCCTGGTGCAGCAAATGAGCCAAAGGCTGAGACCAATCCTCTGGTTTCTTTTACCTTTAACAACACTCACGTACCAAAGCCTACATGTGGAACTCACTAATGTTTATGGAGCCACTTAACTGCCACTGAAGCATGAAACGAGTTGCAGATGGACAGGTTGTGCTCACCTACCCAGGATACGCCTGGAATAAAGAGATACTGGAAGTTGGTCACCTCCAGGAGCAGCACTGGTGGTCTCCATCCAATCTCCACTCACCCCAATAAACACCTGTCTGCCCTCAGGCTTGTGATTGCTTTGCATGTGCTCATGGTATTTCAGTGCCTGTTCCATCCCCTGTGCTTGACAGCAGATGAAATTGCACAATTTAAAGTATTTTAGAAAAAACACCCGAGTAACTTGAAGCTACATTTTCAAAAGGAGAAGGTGAAAGTCTCATGGAGTTAACAATGAGATTTTGAGCACCGACATGTGAGCACCTACACCTAAATCTGGAAATGGCATTTCAAAGACTCTCAATAACTTCTGAGAACCTTATCCTGTGAAATGCAAATCGTAGAAGGTTGGACATCAGGATGAATTTCCCACATACAGTGTGATTAAACATTGGAATGGGCTGCCCAGGAGGTGGTGGAGGCACCGTACCTGGAGGTGTTTAAGAAATGACTGGATGTGGCACTCAGCGCTCTGGTCTGGGTGACGAGGTAGAGGTCGGTCACAGGTTAGACTCGACGACCTCAGAGGTCTTTTCCAACCTGATTGATTTTGTGACAGTTCTCAGTTCTTTCTTCAAAACACAGACCATTTTTACAGTTTACTGTAAAAAAATACTCTATATGTAATATTTGTGTGAACCAGCCTGGCTCTTTTTAACTCCCATCACATCAACATCACTAACTTGGGGTTTGCATCAGAGGAAAGATACTGTTCTTCCTACGTGAGGCTGTTTGTCCCCAGCTCTGGACAGGGGATGTCCTACCTGTCCTCTCTCACCTGCTGACACACACCAGAACACTACTTTATGATTATGTGAACTTTCATCTCTGCCCAATTCCTGAGGCAAAACCCCCCACCGAGAAAGCACCGTGGTGGTTTTAACCACTGGGGAAAAAGGGAAGGGACTGGAGTTTATTGTTTACCCCTGTATCTCAAATTTAATTAAATTTGAAATGTGGCAGAAATTAGGACACAAACAAATAATTAAAACTTTAATCATAAATTAATTCGCTACTTAAAAATATACAGTCCTTGGCATTGATTTCATGTACATAATTGAAAGTCTGTTATTTCCTTGCAGTACCTACAAGAAAATGCATTACTCAAGATCTAGGCTTTCCAAAAAAATCTACTTTTTCAACAACTTATTTCTTGTGGCTTTGCTATCTCACTGGCTGTCTCTGAAAATAATCAAATTAGGCAAATCTTTCCTACATTACACTGAGAATGACATACCATTCATTGACTACACCCCACAGAATTTTAAAATACAAAAAAAGCTGTTCTTGTACAATTTACTTACTCCCTAAAGACTCCTGACTACTCAACTGATAGTTTAATAATACTCCTATTTTATTAGCATTATTGGAAAGACTGAATGAAGAATGATAGGAAAAAATCCTTCATCTTTACAATAAAAAGCAGCTGATAAAGAGCTTCTTAGCAAGACACCTTTTAGAATTTAAAAAATCCCTGAAAAACCTAAATGCTCAGGACAAAAATAGCTCCTGTAAGGATGTAACATATCCCTGGAAGTGTTTGAGACCTGCTTGGATGCCACCCTGAGCAACCTGGTCTAGGGGAAGGTGTCCCTGCCCACGGTGGGAGTTTGGAATGGGATGAGCTTCAAGGTCCCTTGTTGCAAGGGACAGTAAGACTGTCTTTTTATTACTTTACCACACATCTATATTAATACCTTTAATTTGTTACTCTTCTATTAAATTCAGTACAGGTTGCCTAATGAAGTCAGAAGCTACTGGAAAGGAAAGGGGAGAAGAGAGGGAATGGCAGTGACACCCTGTGCCACACCTGCTTGTTTCCTTAAAGGGACCAGGCTTAGATCAGTTTTACAGGCACAGAAGCTGTTATGATTAAGAGTCTTTTCATCTTGAAAATCTTAGAGACTTTATATTTAAGTATTTAATTAATAATATTGAATATTTAACTTGAAAATATTGAAAATTTATTGATTCTCAGTGCGAGGAAAACTAATTTTCCCCATCAAAAACAATAAAATACACCCTCAATTCACTGTTGGCTACCATTAGCTTGAACAGTGGAATTCCACATTTTCATTTTTTTGGTGGGAGGACGTAGTATAGTAAGTAGGAAATACATATCTGAATGGCCAAATATTTTCAGTCATCTCTTCCTCTTTCACTGTAGGGTCCACCTGTCACTTGGGTCTGTCAGTCTGTCACTCCTGTACAGCCACAGGAATTATAGGTACAGCACAATTGTTACCAGACATACTTCACTGATGATTTTAACATTTCCCCCTCTGCTTAAACCACGTGAATCCAGGTTTTGATTAAAAAGGAGAAAAAGTGAAATTATGAAGCATGTCACTAATCTTGCCTTGAAGGAAAGATTCCTTTGATTCCCAAAATCTGTAACCTTGCCACACTTGCCATGAACTGGGAGCACAATGTGAACTGTGCCCTTGTTTCAGGGCAAGCACAATAAAAAAATCACTAATAGACACCTACTAACATTAAGAACTCCAAACCTACTGGACCTGTCAAATAGGGAACTACACCCTCTCTCTTTTTCTTTTAAGAAAAACATCATATTTATCAGAAGGATTGTTACCTGCATCCAAAACCGGGAGCACCAAAATACCAGGCCGTGCTGCTTCAGACCTCTTCATCAAAGCAGTTGGGAAATCTTGGCTGTGGATCCCAGGGGTGAGCAGGACTTTTTCCAACCCATTCTATCTGCTTCAGTTCAATGGACAGATGACAAAGTGTAATTGTAGTAGCATTCTTCAATCTGAGCAGAGTTGAGGGCTGAAAAGAAAAGAGAATTTAAGCTGATCTGACTTAACTTTCCAACTCTTTTAGCCTAACAAGAGTCCACAGAGGTTGTGGACTCCCCATCCCTGGAAATGCTGAAGACCAGCCTTGGACAGGGCTTGGAGCAACCTGGGCTAGTGGAAGGTGCCCATGGCAGGGGGTGGAACTACATCATCTTGAAGGTCCCTTCCAACCCAAACCATTCTGTGAAGAAGCGTCATCCGATTACTATCCAATACTACATCACACAAATATTTATCCCAAAGTATCTCCACAGATGGAGACTCCACAGCCTCTTAGGGCAACTTGGTCCAATGTCTGACCACTCACAGCAGAAAACTTTCCATGTTTTAATGCAATTGCCTCTATTTCAGCTTGTGCCTCCGAGCCCACTCATCTCAAGGCTAAACTGTCCCAGCTCTCCCTGCCTCTCCCCATGTATCCTCACATCGGAGTTTCCCAACCTGTTTTCTGTACCAGCTACAGTTTTCCTGTATTTCCATGTCTGAACTATGTGCCTGACTGGAAGTATTCCTTTGCATCATCTGAAAAATAAAGCAGCAAAAATTCAATCACCAATGAAACTGCTGGTTAAGCCATGAACACGCTGAAGACCCGCTAAATGTAGCTCTTTCTCATCCTATTAAAAGTTACACTTTAAAGTAACAGGGCAATTTTAATATTTTCTGTGTCTCAGCCACATACAATCCAAGTTTTTATATCAAAATACTGTCTTGCAAAGATTTAATGCTTTAAAAGAAATTAGTTTAATATAGCAACGTAGGCCAGACACACAATCCTATTAAAAAAACACATCAGCTTTGTCTCACAAATCCTTCTATCACAAAACCATAGTGACCAACAATAATTATTTAATTTTTTTTTCAGCTTTTAAGCCTTTACTGATGGAAGCCCAAGTTAACCTTTAGTTTATTTTGTCCTGGGCTAAATCCACTGTGACATCCTTTTTGCCCTTTTCAATACAGCAACTTTTTGGAAGTCTTCCAGTACTTTGAAATAAACACATTTACAAGATATGCAACAATTAACATGAGTGGTTCTAGAAGCTCCTGAGACAGCTCTGAAGTCCCTATGATGTGATGTCCAGATATGTTTATATAATTTTTTTTTATTTAATAGTTGATTTCAGAAATCACTCCTTCACCATCTTTAGCAAAGTGGGTGTGAACTTTCTACTCCAAACAAAAAATGATCTGGGAAAGGAGAAAACAATAAAGTATGAAAAAAAGCAAAATGACGTTAAAAAGGGGAAAAAGATATATTAAAACAGTAAAAGTTTATGCTTAATGATGTCTAAAGAGTGAGTTGACTTGGAGACAGGCTGAAAATGACCATTTCACCCTGTAGCTGGTTGTGCAGGAGCCAGAGGAATGACTGCATTAGACACAAAGATCAGAAGATTGTGATGTTTATACACCTAAAAGTTGGTATCTGCCCGCTTCTCAATCGCAAGTCAGACAACATGTTTCTAGTTATTTCTCAAAATGACAAGGTTTAAATACTTTTTTGCTTCAGTCTTCACAGAAGAACTTGAGATTTTCAACAGCAATCGTCAGAGAGTTTCCAGTCAAAGCTTCCATCGAGATAAGGTAGAAGGAGGATGAGAGGGTATTTCTCAAAACAAATTCAAACTGGCAAAGTCTGGGGTCCTTACTGAATACCAAAGGAACTAGTTGAAATAGCTGCTCAGTCACCTGCAATTACATTCAAAAGCTTGTGAAAGTCAGAAAAGCTCCTAAAGACTTGAAATACCAGCAAAAAAATCTACCCAACGGAGAAGAAAATGAGAATTACAGACAATTAATCCTTACTTCCATACCCATGGGATGTCTAACAAAGAGAGTAAACCACCTACATGAACACACCTAGAGGACTGGCCAGGCAAGATTTGTCAGGGGAAAAAACAAAAGTCACATCAAACTAATCTTAATTCTCCCCTTTGACCAGAAATGCTTCAGCTGTATGGGAAGTTTGAACCCTAAGAAAGAAGCAGTTTAGCAATTAAATGACAAATTACTTTTTTTTACTGTACTTTTTTTCAATGTTTGATTAAGTCAGGAATGATCCAAGCACGTTTCATCCTACCTGAAAACAAGAGAGGGAGAATTCTCAGGATCCCTTACAGATACTGAGACGTTATAGGTTATAGTATGGACCTACTCTGAAACAATGGGAATGGAATGGGGAAAAATGGATGAAAAGATGCTTCTACACCAGTGAAGCAGCATAGAGGTCCCAGATGACCCACCCTCACAGCTCTCCTGCTGATCTTCGCCTGTTCTCTCTCCCAGGCTGTTTTTAAAGTGCTGAACCTCCATGTGGAAGAACAGAGTTCAGAAGTAATTCTGAGCAGAATCCACGTAACAGCCCTAATTCTCCACACAGCCTGTTGTGCAAAAGGACATCGCTCAGCCCAGACCTTCTAAAACACGAGGATTTCAATAAATTACCAGGGAAGCAGTCAATAGTATTTTTGTCTAACAGCTCCACACACACTGTGGCTCTTCAATCAGCCAACTGGCAGGAACATTAAACCCCCAAACTTTTTTCACTTTTACAACATGTAAAAAGTTTAATTTTTAATATATATCATGACTTTAAGAAGTACAACTAAACAGAGCACTACTGTAATTTTCTAATTATATTTTTCACAAGTTTTTAGTGTCATAATTTAAATAATGAACTCTTTATTTCAAGATGATTAATTAGAATATGTTCCATTTGGGGAACAAGAGTTCAACATCCTACTATCAATTAAACAAAATGCACTCCCTTAGCTCAAGATTAAAAACCAAAATGCAGCCAAAAAGTTTCTTCCTCGTATCTGTCAGATCACAAAAGCATCCATTACAGCAGGATAAGGTTGCCAGAAAAGCCCAAGACTTTCAAAAATGTATTATTTAGAACAGTGGCTTAGCTCTGAAGCTGCACCAGAAATGACACCCGAGCTTAGGACACTAAGCCTTTTTGCCAATGAATTTCTTGTAAAGTCAACAATTATAATTTATTCTGATCCTTTGTGTCATCATATTAGTAGTTATTTTTCAGCAATCCCAGAGCAGCAACAAATAATGCCATAGAAGAGGACTGATATAATTACAGGCTGAAAAAGATAGGCCAGCACCCTTACACTCAAAACTACCCTCTGTGGCTCCTTCATACCCCATATGTTGCTAATAAAACTGTTTGAATCATACCTATGAGACAGTTTTACTGATATTGTATCAGGTCCCTGGGTTCTTTGTATGAGATACGATGTCACCAGCACTATAACTATGCAAATTTTGTGATACAGGATCCCACTGGACACGGTATTACATACGTAATTCGCAGTATGAAACCGTGCATTAACAATAATTCTACTGTTATATAAATGAAACCACTATGTTTATTGAAAAGCTTGCCACACTACAACGAAATCAAATTTAAAAAAGCAATAAAGAGCGACTGATGTGCTCATAGCAAAGATGGCAGCATTGGTGTTTTTCCCCCAAACAATGTAAATTTTGCTTTGAGTTCATGTGGCAGTACTTTTCAGAAACTTTTAGCACTGACACTAGACAAATGCAACCCCCGCCAACAATATTAATTAATGACTTAAAACAGGAACCTACAGAGTCCCACTTCTAGAAACAACCATGTGATGTTCAGCAAGAACAAACAGTGAACTCTCAGCTTCTACTACTAACTACAGAATAAAATATAAAGACTAGGCAATGCAGCAGCAAAAACTTAACAGCTGGGGATATCAACACACATCATGCTGAAGCACCTCAGAAACATCATCTTGGGGTCAGGAAACACCTGTGCTCCAACTCTGAATCCGACCTCAGACCTCTGTGCGACCCCAGGAAAACGACACCACCCCAGCTGGTATCACATGCTTTAAGGTCCCTCATCTTCTCCTGCTTAACAACGCAGTCAGTGCTTTATAGACATCACAAATACCTGCAAAAAGGCACATCAGAGCTCTTAAAAATAAGAGTTGCAAGGAGGGACAGAAAGGTTCGATCCGAAACCTGACAGCACAGGCAGCTCAATACACATTCCCCTCTTCCATGTTTCCAGTGATTTCTTCCCTCCACTGGTTTGCTGCAGGTAGGGGAATGCTGGAGCCTGTATTTTTAAAAGAAATCAGAAAAAAGGTACCAGGCTGGCAGGATAAAGTGAGTCTGGTAAAGAGCCAGATTAGGGAGATAAAAGGACGCGATTTCGCCAAGGTGCCGTGAGAATTAATAAACCAGATAATTTTATAAAGTAAATTGTACAGTAAATTTGTGTAGTAAATTGTCTAATACATATGGGAAAACCCACAGCTCAGTATTCCCTGATAATATTTTTAATGCCCTCCACTACAGCTAGAAAACATAAATTGACACACAGCACAAGCAGCTAAGGAGTCTCACACTGAGAAGCACCGGTTTTAAGTAACTGATGCAAGAAAAACAGAGTTGTAACCAGGCACTCTAAGGAAGATAAAGAACTGACTGATTCCTGTAACTTGTGTGTTTCCACTACAGGGGTAGCTTAAGCAGTAACTTCTCCTACAGTTTTCCTTGACACCACTCTCTGTGCAATACAAAAGCCGTAACAGTTTTATTCTGTTTAAAAAATCAATAAATTGCAGCTTCGGTGACATCTGACAAGACAGAAAGCTCACACTCCACTCCATGAACATTCTGCCCTCTGGTATTGCTGCGATGTTTTATCATCATAACAGTTTGGAGAGAATTATATACCTATTTCTAAAGTTTGAAAAAAACATCCCCCTCCTCCCCAAATATTGCCCAAAGCTGTTATGAAGCAACTTATTTTTAGAAAAAGCACTTATGCAGATACTTAATTTTAATTAATAGTCTCAGTCACTTCAACATTTGCACAGTGAGACAACTCCACGCTTCAATTAAAGCCAGCACAGAAATGCTGTGCTGATTCATGGCCAAAAGCATGACAGGAACATCATTATATAAAAC